GTGCAGCAGCATAAACTGCTTCGGCGGTGGCATTAGCTAGATCGACGGACCTCTCGGGTTTAGGAGGCTCTTTGCCGTCACCGATGTTGAGATGGACGTCGGTGAGCTCGAGCCCCTTCACCTCGCGACTGAGGAGGTGCTTGTTGACACCATAGCGCCAAGCCTTGCAGTTGGAGCATGTGCCGTCCGGCTCAAGACGAAGGACGAGGTTCGGGTTGGTGAGTGAAGTGGTTATGTAAGCCATTGCCGCTTGATTTCACGACGCGACGCTCTTAAGTGACCGATGGGAACTTGGAATCTCAATTTTGACCATCGTATGCGGATAGGTCGCTCTGATACCATGTAAGAAATAGAGGTGAAAGGATTAATTAGGTAAGGATCCCAAGGCTCTATAAGTACATGGCAAGGTGAAAGAGAATGGATGAGGGGGGAATCGGGAGGAATCCCCATTGGGATCTCCAGAATCTCCAATTGGGTAATTGGTGATTGGGGGGATCACACTTGGGTGAGGTTGGGATTTGTGAGTACACCCCAACCCACTAGAACATTCCTAACCTAAACTAGAATATAAAAGTACAAATACATTAGTGAGATTTGCAATGTATTTCTAAGAATACCTGTGTTGGGGTGCCAATCCAGCCTAATCATGGTTGGAGCCCCGAATACAAGGACCACAATGGTAGGGGCACCACAAGTGGGTTGGTCAACCTACTTGTGGTCCACGAGATTTGGACCACCTCCCACTTGTGGTCAACCACATTTGTAAAGATCCCCCCTCCTTTATAATTTGTCATCACCTCCTTTGTGACACTGTGGTCCAGTGGATCATTGATGCTCTCAAACCTCCCTCTGCCCTCAACTCCACGCAGTCCCATACCCTCTAGCTTGCAGCCGCACAGCCGCACCGAGGCGGTCGCTCACGTTGCGGCGCACCAACCCTCAGGGTGGAGGTGGCGGTGGCGGTATTGGCAGCAATGGAGCCAGCGGCGGTGGTGGCGGCGGTGGTGGGGTTGAGAGTGGAGGTAGCGGTGGTGGTGGTGGCCGCCCTAGCACTCTCCCTCCAGGTTCGCATCTTTATCATTTTGATCCCAGGGCAGGTGAGCACTGAACCCAACCAACTGACCCCCTTTGACCTGCTTCCCTGCTTATGATGATGTGTGGTTCGAGCGTGGCAATACTGGCACGCCTCCTCGCTGGACTGTCATGGATCCCTGCCCCTCCCTCCAGGATGTCAAAACTCTTCCGTTAGGGCGTGTCCTAACCGTTCATTTTGCTGATTGGACATGCCGATAACGTCACGAGGCATGGTTCGACAAATAGTACTCGATTACAAACAAAAAATGAATCAGATCCTGGAACCGACCCCAAATTACGCGCTGAAGTGTTCCCGTGGGTCCTGGAAGATTTTCTCGGAAACCGAAGTGTACCGCGCGAAAAAAAAAACCCGCGATCTGGTTACCTTTTAGTCTGGGAGCAGGGCTTTCTGGTTGTTTGTTTTTTGGAAGTAGAGTCTCCCCGATTCGAAGTCTAGAAACCTCCATTCCACGAGATTGAGTACGTAAGTTTGCTCAATGTCCCAACTGTGATTTACACTGCCGAATCAGAAATGCCCAAGAACGGCTTCTAAAACGGACAGTCGATTGTTTATCCGAAAGATCATCCGCAATTTGTGCTTAATTGTGAATGTTTGGCCTTTTTCTGTGGCCTCTGAGAGAGTGATTTCCTGCGTTGGCTCGCGCATCGGGGTTTCAGCAAAACTCCTTGGGTTTCGCAAATTTCGTGGCCGCAAAACACGGTCAACTAGGGGACATGCGCAGTTCCACGAATCGTACCCCCGTTAGCATGTTGAGGCGTTTTCTGCCTGTACTGTCACATGTCCGACCTACAACCCTGGATAGCGTACTCTCTAATATGCATCTCGCTAGCATGTACCTTCTGTGGTTACATGCCAAAATCGGGTAACAGCACCATGAATCGAACTCTTAGGACATGCCCTTATTCCTTCCCTCTCATCTTCAACTCTCCTCCTCCTCCTCCTCCTCCTCCTCCTCCTCCTCCTCCTCCTCCTCCTCCTCCTCCTCCTCTGTCGCTAACCCATTGTAAGAAATAGAGTTGAAATGGTTGACAAGGTAAGGAGCCCTAGGCTCTATAAGTACATGGCAACGTGAGAGAGAATGAATGATGGGGGGAATCGGAGGGAATCCCCATTGGGATCTCCGGAATCTCCAATTGGGTAATTGGAGATTGGGGGGATCACAATTGGGTGAGGTTGGGATTTGTGAGTACACCCCAACCCACTAGAACATTCATAACCTAAACTAGGATATAAAAGTACAAATACAAAAGTGGTATTTGCAGTCTATTTCTAACACACCCCCATAGACTGCAAACCCGATCAAGGAGCACATAGCCCCATGGAACGGAGAAGGCGATGGTGGTCAGCCTTGCCGAGAGCCTTGGTAAAGAGGTCGGCAAGGTTGCAATCTGAGGCGATGTATCGTACCGTCAGCTGGTCACTCTAAACAAGATCTCGGATGAAGATATGACGAAGTTCGATGTGCTTGGTGCGAGAGTGGAACACAGGATCCTTGGTGAGGTGAATGGCACTCTGGTTGTCACACCACAGGGTGGGTGACTGCTGGGGGTAGCCTAACTCAGCGAGGAGAAAGGAGAGCCAGCGTGCCTCTTGAGCAGCCATTGTGCCCGCGTAGAGCTCGGCCTCGCAGGACGACAGGGAGACTGCAGAGGACCGAGTGGAGCGCCAGCTGATGACTCCGCTACCAAGGGTGAAGCAGTACCCTTGGGAGGAGCGTCTGTCACTCTGGTCATCGGCCCATGAGGAGTCTGTGTATCCCTCGAGCTTGACTGGAGAGGTACCACCAAGAGTGAGGATGTGAGACTTGGTGGCTTGTAGATAGCGGAGGACCCTCTTGGCTGCAGACCAATGCGAGGCAGTGTAGCGTCCGGGGGAGACGTACCAAGAGAGGACACTAACCGGGTAAGCCAAGTCTGGTCGAGTGCACATCATGGCATACATGAGTGAACCGACTAGCTCAGGGTACAGGTCCTTGCAGGCGTCAGGAGAAGGAACTGGAGGGGCCGTGAACTGATGCTGTAGTGGGAGTGGAGTGGAGACAGAGTTACTGTAGTCCATGTCGAACCGCTTGAGAAGGTTGTCGATGTAGGACTCTTGGGAGAGCGTGATCGTGCAAGCCTGGCGGTTACGAGTGATCTCCATCCCTAGGTAGATCTTGAGGTCACCAAGATCCTTTATGAGAAGGGCGGAGCTGAGAGCAGACTGGACAGCTGCCATGTCGGCTGGATCTCTGGCGGCTAGAATGAAGTCGTCGACGTAGACGAGGATGTAGAAGGGCTCGGAGGAGTGACGAACGAACAGGCTAGAATCTGAGGCAGAGGGATGGAAGTCAAGTGCGAGGAGGAGTTCCTTTACCTTGTTGTGCCACTCAAGAGGAGCCTGCTTGAGGCCATACACTGGGCGCTTCAGCTTCCACACTATGTTGGCAGGGTAAGTGCCAGGAAACCCCGGTGGGCGTTCCATGTGAACATCCTCCTTGAGCTGGCCTTGGAGAAAGGCGGAGGAGGCGTCCATGGACTTGATCTCGAAGTTGCCGCGAGCGTCTATATCAAGAAGAGCGCGCACAGTCGGGAGCTTGGCCGTGGGCTAGAAGGTTTCGAAGAATTCGAGATACTCCTTCTAACTGAAACCCTTCGCCACGTATCGTGCATTAAATATAGAGCTTTGACTGGGAGTTGTTTGACTCGGAAGATCCATTTTCCGCCGACGATGTTGACACCGGAAGGGGGAACAACATCGTCAAAGCTGTTGTTGCGAATGAACGCCTCGTTCTCCACATCCATTGCTGCCTTCCACTCCTTATAAGGCCCCGAAAGAGCTTCCTCTTTTGTGCGAGGAGTCGGAATGGTCGGGTTCTCGGTGAAGTTGAGGGAAGGGCAGTCAGTAATGTCCGGGAAGATGTGAGAGAGAAATTGGCAGACCGCGTGAAGGTCAAACAGCTCCTCATGCCTGTCCTCCAGAAGTGCACGGGGGGGAATACGGATGGAGGGGACATCACCCCCGGCAGGAGGAGGCGGGGTGATCGAACACCGGATGGAGAAGGCGGCTGGTCCCCTGGTGAGAGGCGGAGCCAGTCCCTTGGAACGAGTGCGACTAGAGACCGGAGACGAAGGCGGCTGCGGTGGGACCGGAGGGACTGGGCGCCTCCGATAGGAGACTGGTGAGCCGGGCTCGACGCGCGGGGAAGGCGGAGCAGGAGGAGGTGTCGCTGCGGAGGATACTGGGGAGGCCGGGTGAGACACGCCGGACGGAGAAGGCCCCGGAGAAGGGGCAGCGGCCGGAGGTGGGGCATCGAAGTCTGCCCAAACAAGCGTCGGGGGAGGTGGAGGAGGCTCGCACGTGGTCGCAGAGTGGAATGGGCGTGTCTCATCGAAGACGACATCACGGCTGCGAATCAGCTGTCTGGTGATTGGGTTGAGGAATAAGTAGTCTGGGGAGTCGGAGTTGTGCCCCAGGTACATGCAGGTCTGGGTTTTGGGACCAAGCTTGCCACCTTGCTTCCTGCGCCTGTGGGGGCTTAGCAACACATACGCGGTACACCCCTAGACGCGTAGAGAGCGGGCGGAAGACGTAACCCCAAGCCAGAGAGCGGTAGGTGTGGTGTCGGGCCGGTGGGGATGCGGATAAAGATTTTTATAGGAGTGCCGCATGGAAGAGGGCATATCCCCAGAGTGACCGTGGTGCGTTGGCGTGACTGAGGAGGCAGCGAGCGATCTGAACCAAGGTGTGGTTGCGGCTCTCTGCAATGCCGTTCTGCTGCGGGCTTTCGGGGAGCGTAAAGGTTTGCCAAATCCCTTGGGCCGCACAGAAGTTATCGAGTTTGCCATTGCGAAATTCTCCCCCGCTATCAGAAAGGAGGCACTTCAGAGGAGTGCCGAACGTGACTTGAGCCTCGCGCACCCATGCCATGATGACATCAGGTGCCTCCGCCTTGGTATGCAGGAGGTGCACAGAAACATACCGCGAGTGGTCATCGACTAGTGTAAGAAAGTACCGATGACCGCCTTGGGATGCGACTGGAGCTGGGCCCCAGACATCCATGTGCACTAGGTCCAGCGGAGCAGCTGCGACGGATGGGGAGGAAGGGTGCGGCTGCTGCCTGAGCTTGCTCTTGGTGCAGTCCAGGCAGGTGGGTGCAGGTGAGTCTGTTGGTGGAGGAAGCGCTGACGTAGGGACACGGGGGAAGGCGGTTGCGCTGGAATGGCGCCGAAGCGGCATAGGCTTGAGGCACGGGAGCGCGGATTGCATTGGCCGTGGCTTGAGCGTTGCTGTCCTTTTCGGCAGAAAGGAGCGCGGATGAGACCTTGGCAAATGTGAGGTCTGCAGGAGCAAGGCCCAAGAGCATCTTGCGTGTGACTTCGTATGCCGGAGTGAGGCTGACTAGGAGAGCGGCTGCAGGGGCTTGCTCGGGGAAGACTATCCCCAACTGTTTGAGTTCACCATGAATGGACTGCACCTTGGTGACATAGTCCGCCATGCCTGGCGAGTCCTCGAGCCGCACTTGGAACATGTTGGGGATGAGTATAGCAACTCCCACTGCAGTCTTGTTCAGGAAGCGATCCTCGAGGTAGAGCCAAATGACGTTGGCAGACGGGTAGTTGTGGTAGGTTTCGACGAGTTCGGGAGGAGTGGTGCCCATGAAGACACTAATGACCGCACCATCGGCCTTCTCCCAATTCTTGTACTTGAGCAGTGCAGCAGCATAAACTGCTTCGGCAGCGGCATTAGCTGGATCGGCGGACCTCTCGGATTTAGGAGGCTCTTTGCCGTCACCGATGTTGAGAAGGACGTCGGTGAGCTCGAGCCCCTTCACCTCGCGACTGAGGAGGTGCTTGTCGACACCATAGCGCTAAGCCTTGTAGTTGGAGCATGTGCAGTCCGGCTCGAGACGAAGGAGCGGGATCGGGTTGGCGAGTGAAGTTGTTGAGTAAGCCATTGTCGGTATGCAGCGCGGCACTTCTGGAACTTGGTTGACGAGAATTGCTGAAAATCACTCCGACGGCTGTATGAAAATGCCGCTAAGTAGGAAATGGCGTCGGCGAAAATTCGTTAAAACGCCGACTTGAAACTGAATCTGAGCCTATGTCTAACCCCAGACCCACACACCCCCCCACACACCCCCAAGCCCTGTCCCGCAGCTACACAGCTCCGCAACCAGCTCCGCAACCAGCTCCGCAACCAGCTCCGTAACCAGCTCCGCAACCAGCTCCGCAACCAGCTCCGCTCCGCTTCAACCTGTGTACCTGCTCTTGCTTGACGCGAGACATTCGTGGAGGCGATTTCGCGAGGGGAGTTCGCCTATTCTGGCGGGGTCTGAGGGGAAACTCGAGAACGAGTTTTAAGAGATGGTCGAAATTGAGATTCGACCAACGAGAACCGAGGAGGAAATCGATGATGAGAAGCTTGAACACTTCAGAGATGAGAAATTCGACGAGGTCGAGCGCGAAGGCGGTGGACGATGAGAGGCGCGACTGCAGAGTGGAACACGTCGAAATTCCGACGATGAAGTACGCGTAGCGCGGGCACGTTAAGATTAGGACCTTGATCCGCGTGTGCAGATAGGTCGCTCTGATACCATGTAAGTGTTAGAATATACCATGCTATGCTAGTTGTGTATATTGTGTTTACATCCCTAGTTGGGTGTACACCTGTGTTGGGGTGTCAATCCAACCCAATTGTGGTTGGAGCCCCCAAACACAAGGACCACAATTGTGGGGGCACCACAAGTGGGTTGGCTAAACCACTGGTGGTACACCACACTTGGACCACCTCCAACTAGTGGTCAACCACATTTGGAAGGATCCTCCCTCCCTTGTGATTGGTCCTAACCCCCCTTTCCCTTCCAACCTTCCCTTCCTAGCTCATCCCTCTCTTCCTATGTAATGCCTTTTGCTTCATCAATAAACTGAACCTTTCTGTTTCTAACATGGTATAGAGCAATAATGGCTCACGCCAACTTTTAAATCTCGATCCTTCCCCACGCTTCCGCCCCGTCCCCTTCCGACGTGCACCTCATTGCCGTCCCCTCCATCGCCGCTGCTAGACTCCTAGCCGCCGCCTCTCAACTAGTTTTGTGTTGGGTGGATTTTCAAAAACCCCCAAGGCGCCAAACGCCATAGCTCGCTCGATAATTGACAGAATTGAGTGATTTGACTTGCAAAAGAACTTTCTTGGTGTTAGCTACAAGGTCGTAAAATTTCGGACTGTTTCATCGCTTGGATTGTCAGATATCGCTTTCCGAAGTGTGCACACTTTCCTGGATGTGATCACGAAGTGCTACTGAAATTTCTACCAAGTCCTATTTTCATCAGCTAACTGCCATCTTTCCCCATCTTTTGCCTCCTCACCTGCACCTGCTCATCGCCGCCTTACCACTGCTGCAGCCGTAGCAGCAGCAGCAGAAGCAGCAGCAGCACCAGAAGGAGCAGCAGACTCAGCAGCAGCATCAGCAGCAGCAGTAGCAGCAGCAGCAGCAGCAGCAGCTGAAGGAGCAGCAGCAGCAGCAGCAGCAACAGCGGCAGCAGCAGCAGTGGCAGCAGCAGCAGCGGCAGCAGCAGCCACAGCAACAGCAGCAGCAGCAGCAGCAGCAGCAGCAGAAGGAGCAGCAGCAGCAGCAGCAGCAGTATCTACAGCCATCCCTATCCTCCCCTCCTCTTTGAGCCGCCGCGGGTCCACGCGCCGCCGCTCCCTCCCGGCCACCGCGGGTCCACCCGCCGTCGCCTTCCTCCCACTCCGTGTCACCAATGGCATCCTTTCCCCCTCCCGTCGACGTCTCGACCCTCGATCATCTCGTGCGCGCTGCCGACAACTCAGCAACCAACTGGTATTCCTTCGTCGGCAGCCTCCACCGCGTCCTCGGCAGTGCTTATGTCCTGCCGTTCCGCCTCCTGGACATCATGCTTGGTCTCCCAGAGGGTGACCTTGGGGACCCGCCGCCTCACCCTGGCGATCCCCCCCCTCTCATTCCCCATCCCGGCGAGGAACCTCCGCCCCCCATGGTACCCGTTGGCACCAGCACTCGCGCTGCCACCGCTGAAGTTGAGCAGCTCTTCCTTACTCAGCGTCGTGAGTTCCTCGTGCTCCATACTGATTACCTGATCGCGTTGGAGGAACACGAGCAGTCGGCAACCCTCCGCACCCAGCATGCCGCTACCGCCGCCGCTTATGCCGCTGACTCTGCGCGATTTGCTGAGCGTCGTCGCGCCTGGCTCGAGGCGGACAGCCGTGCTACTGGTGCCCTTCTCCTTGCCATCCCGTCTGCGCTCATGCGCAACTTCCAGGCCCGTCGCATCGACTCGTGCCAGATCTGGCTCGAGCTTGAGGCAATGTTCGAACGCACCGACTTCGATGCTGTCGGACCGCTCTTCAAGGAATACTTAAGCATCACGATCGAACATAGTGCTGGCGTCGTTGACTACACCAGCCGTCTCCTGGACCTTGCCTCCCGCCTTGAGGCTCGCCAGACTACTCTCCCCTCCAACCTTCAGATCTACCGTCTCCTCGAAGGCCTCTCCCCTCAATATGAAGTGCGCGTCATCGCCTTCACTGAGGCTCAGCCCCGCACCTCCCTTGACACTGTGGTCCAATGGATCATTGACGCTGAGGCCCGCCTTCTCTCAACCCCCCCCTCCGGCCTGAACTCCACCGAGTCCCAAAACCCCCAGCTTGCAGTCACACAGCCGCGTCATGGCGGGCGCCCACGTGGCGGCCGCACCAACCCTCAGGGAGGGGGTGGAGGTGGCGGTTGTGGGGGCAGCGGAGCCGGCGGCGGTGGTGGCGGGGTCGAGGGTGGCAGCAGTGGTGGTGGTGGAGGCAGTAGTGGCTCATCTGGTAGCCGTGGTGGCCGCCCTGGCACTCTCCCCCCATGTTCCTATCTTCGCCGTTTTGGTCCCAGGGCGGGTGAGCGCTGCACCCAAACCAACCATCCCCCCGCGACCTGCTTCAAGGCGTATGATGACGCCTGGTTCGAGCGCGGCAACACTGGCACACCCCCACGCTGGTCTGCCATGGATCCCCGCCCCTCTCTCCAGGATGTCAAAACTCTTCCGTCTTTCCTCCCCTCTCATCTTCAGCTCTCCTCCTCCTCCTCCTCTGTCGCTGACCCCATAACTCCCCAGGAGCTGCAGCAGTTTCGCCACTTCCAGCAGCTGCAGCTGCTGCAGCAGCAGCAGCAGTGGGGCTCTGGTGGTCAGGCTGTAGCCGCAGCTGCAGGAGCCGCAGCCGCAGCATCTACATGGCAGCAGGAGCAGCTTGGCTTTGGCACCGCCGCCATGGCTGCCACAGCCACACCAGGTCCTCCTGGCTTTCCCCTCTGGGGCTCTCCTTCCCCTAGTGCTCCCGCCTCCCACTCCAGCTTTCTAGGCGAGCTCATGCGTTCTTCCCCTACTTCCACTTCCATGTATCCCTCTGTTTTTAATGCCAGTGATTTCCAGTACCCCGTGTCTTCAGCTCCCTCCTCGCTCACGATTGACTTTGTTCTCGATAGTGGTGCCACTGAAACTGCCCTCAAAGACGCCGGCACCCTCACCTCCCTCCCTTTCCCCACCAACGTTCATGGTGCTGATTCCAGCTTCTCCATCCCTTGCACTCATCTCTCCACCCTCCCCTGCCCCCCCTTCCCCTCTGGAGTGGTCACTGGTCTCCACATTCCCTCCCTTCGTCATAACCTGCTCTCCATTCGTGAACTCCAACAGGCTGGCATCACTACCCTCTTCCCCGCCTCTGCCACCTACTGTGACCTCCTCCACGGCCCCACTCGCCGCCTCCTTCATCGCCTCCCACTTTGCCCTCGCTCTCGTCAGTACATCCTCCGCACACCCCGCCCCTCCTCATGCCACGTGACCACTCGTGCAGGCACCTCCACTCTCCCCCCTCCCCTCCCTCTAGAGCCACCTTCCTCCAACTCCACCTCCTCCCCATGCTCTTGTCGCGCACTGTCCCACCCCGCTGTTCTCATCCACCACCGCCTTGGTCATATGAACTTTCCCACACTTCGTAAAGCCGTCTCCTCCCGCTTGCTTGACGGTCTTCCCCCCACTCTTCCTCCCCTCCTGTCCTCTTCCGCTCCCCCATGCGCCACATGCATTCATGGAAAGCTCAAACAACAGCCTCACCTCAGTCATCCTTCCTTTGCTGCTGCCCCCCTTGACCTCGTCCACATGGACCTCTGGGGCCCTAACCCTTCCCCTTCCCGCCAAGGGCACCGGTACATGCTTGTCCTAGTCGACGACCACAGCAGGTACTCCTCGGTGTTCCTCCTCCACACGAAGGCCGAGGCCCCTGCTGTCATCGTTACCTGGGCCGAGCAGTGCGGAGTCCACTTTGGTCGCCCCATCCGCCGCCTCCATTCCGACGGCGGTGGTGAGTTTCTCAACCGCACCCTCTCCTCCTACTACTCAACCCATGGCATCCAGCAGACTCATACCTTTCCCCACTCCCCTTAGCAGAACGGTGTTGCTGAGAGTCGCATTCGTGAGATCACCAAGACGGCCCGCTCCCTCCTCACTCATGCCTCCACGCCCCCTTCTCTTTGGGGCTATGCCCTTGTCCATGTTGCTCTCCTTACTAATCTTTACCCACATCCTCAACGCCAGTCTGTCACTCCGACTGAGCTCTGGGCTAGCACCAAGCCAGATGCTGCCATTCTCCATATCTAGTGTTGCAAGGCATATGTCCTCATCCCCCCACGTGACCGCTCTCAGCAGGCAGGAAAGCTCGCCTCCAAGGCCATTGAGTGTGTCTACCTTGGCCACGCTCGCTCTGCCCCTGGTTACCTCTTCCTTCACCCGTCCTCAGGCCGCCTCCTACAGAGCCGTGACGTGGTGTTCGATGAGAGCATCCCATTCTATCATTCTGTTCCGCCTTCCGACCCCCTTCCTCCTCTCTCCCGCCCCCTCACCTGGGCTGATGCTGTCATTCCCCCACTCCTTCCCCAGGCTCCCCTCCTTCCTCCAAATCCTGCTCCTCCCCCTCCTCCTTCCTCAGGTGACATTTACGACCCAGCTGTCCCTGACTCCCCTGCTCACTCTGCCTCATCGCACCAGCACCAGCAGCAGCAGCAGCAGCAGCAGCAGCAGCAGCAGCAGCAGCAGCAGCAGCAGCAGCAGCAGCAGCAGCAGCAGCAGCAGCAGCAGCAGCAGCAGCAGCAGCAGCAGAAGGAGCAGCAGCAGCAGCAGCAGCAACAGCAGCAGCAGCAACAGCAGCAGCAACAGGTGCAGCAGCAGCAGCGGATGGAGCAGCAGCAGCAGCAGCAGCAGCAGCAGCAGCAGGAGGTGCAGCAGCGGATGGAGCAGCAGCAGCAGCAACCGCAGGCAGTGCAGCAACAGCAGCCGCAGCAGGAGGTGCAGCAGTAGCACCAGCAGCAGCCACAGCAGCAGCAGCAGCAGCAGCAGCAGCCACTGCAGCAACCTCATCGGCATCGCCGCACCACCTCTCCGTTCATCCTCCCACGCATCCATACTCGCTCTCACGGCCCACTCATAGGCCATCCATGGGGTTGGCCAACACCACTCCCACCCTCCCTTCCCTTCATTGAGGACTCCCATGAGGAGCTCATTGGCGTTCAGCAACAAACACCTTCCCTCACGCCTCTCTACCCGGGCTTCCTTGGCCTCCTCATCCTTGGCATCGCTACCGCTCCCACCAGATTCACTCCGTCCAACTTCCTTGAGGCCATCACCTGCCCCGATGCTGCCAAGTGGATCCAGGCTATCTTTGCTGAATGCGAGGCCTTCATCCGCAATGCCTCATTCGTTTACATTGTCCCCTCTCCTGACGACGTCATTGTTGAAGGCCTGTGGGTGTTCCGAGTGAAGCAGCTGCCGGGTGAGGAGCCGGTCTACAAGGCCCGGTATTGTGCCAAGGGCTTCACCCAAACCCATGGCATCGACTACTGGGAGACATTCTCTCCCACTGCCAAGCTCCCAACTCTCCGTGCCATCCTCGACTATGCTGTTCGCATTGGCATGGAGATTGCCTCCATGGATGTCTCCAACGCCTTCCTGCAAGGCGAGCTCCATGAGCGGGTCCTCTTGCGGCGGCCTCCAGGCTTTCATGCAGCCTTCCCTGCCAACACAGTCTGGGAGCTGCGCCGCCCAGTTTATGGCCTCAAGCAGGCTCCTCGCGAGTGGCACAACAAGCTGGCCGCCACTCTGCAGTCCTTGGGGTTCCATGCCTCTCAGTCTGATGCCAGCCTTTTCCTTCGCTCCTCTCCCACCCGCTTCTTCATCCTGGTGTATGTCGACGACATGATCCTGTTCGCTGACGATGCTGCCGCCATGCAGCAAGTGAAGGACGCCCTGCATGCGCGCCTCAAGTGCAAGGACCTGGGTGAGCTCAAGCACTATCTGGGCATGACCATCACCCGGGACCGCACATCCCGCACCATTACCCTCTCTCAGTCCTTCTACATCGACCAAGTCTTGCAGCGGTTCGACATGGCGCAGGCCAAGCCGGTTACCACTCCCCTGCAGACCGACCACCAGCTTGCCCCTCCTCTTGCTCCCTCCTCCTCTGACCATCCTTACGCTGAGCTCGTCGGCTCGCTGATGTACGCTATGATGTGCACCCGCCCCGACCTTGCCTACCCCATCAGTGTTCTTGCTCGATTCGTCGGTACCGGTCGCCACACTGATGAGCACTGGGCTGCAGCGAAGCGGGTCCTCCGCTACCTCCGTGGTACCAAGGACTATGTCCTCACCCTCGGAGGCTCTTCTCCTCCCCTCCTCTCTGGCTTCAGTGACTCCTCCTGGGCTGACTCCCAGCCGGATCGCCGTTCCTCTCAAGGCTACGGCTTCACCCTTGGCAGCGGCCTCATCAGCTGGCGCTCCACTCGCTCCTCCTCCATCGCCCTCTCATCCTGCGAGGCTGAGCTCTATGCTTGCACCATGGCCGCTCAGGAGGCTCGCTGGCTCACCTTCCTCCTTGCTGAGATCGGTGCTCCTCAGCGCTGTCCCACCCTCTGGTGCGACAACGCCAGCACCATCCATCTCACAAAGGACCCTGTCTTCCATGGCCGCTCCAAGCACATTGAACTCTGCTACTTCTTCGTTCGAGAGTTGGTCCAGCAAGGTCACTTGGTGGTCCGCAAGATCGCTGCAGAGGCCAACTTGGCCGACATCGTCACCAAGGCCCTCCCGAAGACCGCGCACTCTGCCCTCCTCCGCCTTCTCGGCCTTGGGCCCCGCCCCCCTTCCTGATTCTGGGGTTGTACCCTACATATACACTAGCTTTGCATGCTATGGGGTTGTGTTAGACTATACCATGCTATGCTAGTTGTGTATATTGTGTTTACATCCCTAGTTGGGTGTACACCTGTGTTGGGGTATCAATCCAACCCAATTGTGGTTGGAGCCCCCAAACACAAGGACCACAATTGTGGGGGCACCACAAGTGGGTTGGCTAAACCACTGGTGGTACACCACACTTGGACCACCTCCAACTGGTGGTCAACCACATTTGGAAGGATCCTCCCTCCCTTGTGATTGGTCCTAACCCCCCTTTCCCTTCCAACCTTCCCTTCCTAGCTCATCCCTCTCTTCCTATGTAATGCCTTTTGCTTCATCAATAAACTGAACCTTTCTGTTTCTAACAGTAAAAAGTAGAGTTGAAATTATTAATTAGGTAAGGAGCCCAAGGCTCTATAAGTACATGGCAAGGTGAGAGTGAATGGATTAAGGGGGAATTGGAGGGAATCCCCATTGGGATCTCCGGAATCTCCAATTGGGTAATTGGAGATTGGGGGGATCACAATTGGGTGAGGTTGGGATTTGTGAGTACACCCCAACCCAGTAGAACATTCACAACCTAAACTAGGATATAAAAGTACAAATACAAAAGTGGTATTTGCAGTCTATTTCTAACACCCTCATCCTCCTCCCTCCCACCCCCTTACATGGGCTGATGCTGTCATTCCCCCACTCTTTCTAGGCTCCCCTCCTTCCTCCAGCTCCTGCTCCGACCTGTCCTCCATCCTCTGGAGACATCTACAACCCCGCTTTTTCTGACTCTCCTACTCATTCTACCTCCTTTCATCAGCCTCCTCAACAGAAGCAGCAGCAGTAGCAACAGCAAGAGGAGGAGGAGGTGGAGCACCCGCAGTAGTAGTAGCCGCAGCCGCAGCAGCAGTGTCACCGAGATCACCTCACCACCTCCCCCTTCATCCTCCCATGCGTCCAGACGCCCTCCCGTGGCCCACTCATCGTCCACTCATGGGGATGGCCACCACCACCTCCACCCTCTCTTCTCTTTATCGAGGACAACCATGAGGAGCGCCTTGGCATCCAGCAGCAAAAACCCTCCCTTGCGCCTCTCTACCCAAGCTTCCTCGGCCTCCTCATCCTTGGCATCACAACCGCTCCCACCATGTTCACTCCATTCAACTTCCTCGATGTCATCACCTGCTCGGACGATGCCAAGTCGATCCAGACTATTCTTGCTGAATATGACGCCTTTAACCTTTATGCCTCCTCCGTTGGTGTTGTCCCTTGTCGAAGGCTTGTGGAATTCCCACGTGAAGTAGCTGCCAAGGAAGAAACCCGTCTACAAGGCCCAGTACTTCGGCAAGGGCTTCACCCAGACCCATGGCACCAACTTCTGGGAGAGATTCTCCCCCAATGCCAAGCTCCCCACTCTCCGTGCCCTCTTCGACTATGTCATTCGCACTGGCATGAAGTTAGCCTCCATGGATGTCTCCAACGCCTTCCTGCAAGGTGAGCTTCTGGAGAGGGTTCTCATGCGTTGGCCTTCCGGCTTTCATACAGCCTTCCCTCTCAATATAGTCTGGAATCAAGCAGGCCCCTCATGAGTGGCACAACAAGCAGGCCACCGTTAGAAATAGATTGCAAATCCCACTTTTGTATTTGTACTTTTATATCCTAGTTTAGGTTAGGAATGTTCTAGTGGGTTGGGGTGTACTCACAAATCCCAACCTCACCCAATTGTGATCCCCCCAATCTCCAATTACCCAATTGGAGATTCTGGAGATCCCAATGGGGATTCCCCCCGATTCCCCCTTCATCCATTCTCTCTCACCTTGCCATGTACTTATAGAGCCTTGGGCTCCTTACCTAAAAAATCATTTTCAACTATATTTCTTACATAGTATCCGTACACGCGGATCAAGGTCCTAGTCTTAACGTGCCCGCGTTTCGTGCGCTTTATCGTTGCGATATTCGTCTCGAGTCGTCGGAATTTTTTACATGCTCCACTCTGCATTCGCGCCTCTCATCGTCGACCGCCTTTGCGCTCGACCTCGTTGAATTTCTCAACTCGAAAGCTTTCATGCTTCGCATATCGATTTCCTCTTCGGTTCACCTTGGTCGAATCTCAATTTCGACCATCTCTTAAAACTCGTTTTCGAGTTTCCCCTCGGAACCCCCCAGAATAGGCGAACTCCCCTCGCAGAATCGCCTCCACGAACGTCTCGCATCAAGCAAGAGCAGGTACACAGGTAGAAGTGCAGCGGAGCTGGTTGCGGAGCTATATAGCTGTGGGATAGGGCCTCGGGGTGTGTGGGGGGGTGTGTGGGTCCGGGGTTAGACATAGTCTCAGATTCAGTTTCAAGTCGGCGTTTTAACGAATTTCCGCCGACGCCATTTCCTTCTCAGCGGCATTTCGACGAAGCCGCTGGACTGATTTTCAGAAATTCTCGTCGACCAATTTTGAGAATGGTCCTGCTGAGCACCGAGGTTCCTATCGGTGACTTAAGAGCATCGCTTCGCGAAAATCAAGCAGCAATGGCTTATTCAACAACTTCACTCGCCAACCCGATCCCGCTCCTTTGTCTCGAGCCGGACGGTACATGCTCGAACTACAAGGCTTGGCGCTATGGTGTCGACAAGCACCTCCTCAGTCGCGAGGTGAAGGGGCTCGAGCTCACCGACGTCCTTCTCAACATCGGTGACGGCAAAGAGCCACCTAAACCCAAGAGTTCCGTCGACCCAGCTAATGCCGCCACCGAAGCAGTTTATGCTGCTTCACTGCTCAAGTACAAGAATTGAGAGAAGGCCGATGGTGCGGTCATTAGTGTCTTCATGGGCACCACTCCTCCCGAACTCGTCGAAACCTACCATAATTACCCGTCTGCCAACGCCATTTGGCTCTACCTCGAAGACCGCTTCCTGAACAAGACTGCAGTGGGAGTTGCTATACTCATCCTCAGCATGTTCCAAGTGCAGCTCGAGGACTCCCCAGGCATGGGGGCCTATGTCACCAAGGTGCAGTCCATTCATGGTGAACTCAAACAGTTGGGGATAGTCTTCCCCGAGCAAGCCCCTGCAGCCGCTCTCCTAGTCGGCCTCACTCCGGCATACGAAGTCACACGCAAGATGCTCTTGGGCCTTGCTCCTGCAGACCTCACATTTGCCAAGGTCTCATCCGC